CGCGTTATGCGATCGACCACCACCAAGCGCGATCACGCGCGAACAATCGGCTCGTCAGGACAAACAACGTAAGTATTTGCGAACTTCACCGCGATAGGCGGTATAATTAGCTATTTATTCCATTTGATAATCGCGCCATGCGTATTCGATTCACTGAGTAGACCGGCGGCTTGGCGGGGGGGTATTTGACACGGACCGCGTCGTTCTCTATACACGGAACCCCGCGACCCGTGACACCTGTATCAGCCGCCGCCCTTCTACGTGCATATGGTAGTTTGACTGACTAACACCGCGTGCGATACGCCACGGTACAAAGTCCAGCAAGTGCCGCACGTCCAGCTACGACCCGCCGCAAATACACGTTAAGTCATCTCCGTGACACCGTTCGACACACATCGGCCTTTTTCCTCATCGTCAATCAGTGCCTAATNAAGTCATCTCCGTGACACCGTTCGACACACATCGGCCTTTTTCCTCATCGTCAATCAGTGCCTAATCTCGTGTCTGTTCATCTTAACTTGTGTTTTCTTCGTCTTTTAGTAATCGTGTATATTATCTATAATAATTTAAAGTGTATATATATATATATAACATATATGTAACATTGTTGAATAAACGGCACCGCACAAACTAAATAACTATAATCGTGTCGACTACATTATTTATCCGTCATTACGACGTCTAAGTATCTGTCAATATATAAATGCGCTTACCTTCGTATATTATTTAATAATTGAATGTACCGAACTTTTCAGTAGGTACCTAGTTTTTATAACAAATGTCTGATAATTGTATTCAATAAATGAAAATATCGAACAATTTTATTTTATATTGTACTTGTACGTTGAGGTGTAAACTCGTTCGTAGAAGCACATCGATTACCGATAATCAATGTGTCCACATTGCTACGTGATATATGTATTACATGTTTTGTTCCGTATCATCGAGTAGTGGAAATTCTCAATAGATTATTTATTTTTAAAACTTAATTGCACAGTCGGTAGCAGATCCACATAATCCCAATTGAAGGGCTCCGTGCAAAAACGAGACAAGTCCACTTTTTTTCAAAAGTCACTTTTTGATGTTATCATATGTAGATTCTTTTTCTTTACAATTGTGTGCAACAACGAGACATGTCCAATGATTATTTACGGAGTTATTAAGTAAATGGACTTGTCTGGTATAAGATATTATGAGCAAGAACCAGGTAAGTCCGGACTTGTCTGGTTTTTGCGCAGAACTGTTGGCTATACTGCAAATTAGTATTGATAGTATATATTTGTAGATATTCGTAAAAATATGTTACTGATAATATTTTGAATTTAGTTTCCATTTATAGTTGTAAATATTAAGACTGATTGTAAATATTAATGTTAATGTATAGTTTTTACTTTTATTTAGTTGCTGTAACAGGCAGTGTTATTTAGTTTTATTATATTTTAAAATGAACTGTGATAATATAACAAAACAACTTGAATATGATGAACTCTGAGTCATCATTTGAATTTAATTTTGATGATGACATTCAAGATCCAGATTATACAGTTTTTGAAAATGACGATCTCGGTGGCATACTGTGTTTAGATTCTGATCCAGATGATCATTTTGAGCCACTTTCAACGACACCCTTAGGATTAATCAATATTATATCAGAATCCAGTGAAGATGATCAACCTACATCTATTCGTATTGGTAAGAAAAGAATACAAAATAAATCATGTTGGAAACGAATATTATAAAAAATTGTAGGTCTGAAGGTATTGGATATAATTCTCTGCGTGACAAAACAATTATTGTTCCTCCTAGAACTACAGGCCCCGACTGTCACTGTCGTCAAAAATGTTTTACTAATGTATCGGATGACCAAAAATTAAATTTACTTGTAACATTTAATAATATAAGTGATCAGAACAAACAAGATACATTGGATTTGGGTGGATTAATTAGGGTCAAACCTGTTATTCGTCAAAGGAAAAGAGATGGTAGTCGACCAAGTAAAACATGTTCTGTAAAATATGAGATAAAAGGTGGTTTAAATATTATCCCAGTTTGTAAGAAGGCGTTTTGTTCTCTTTTTGGAGTTGGAAAATCCAGAATAGAAAGAATAATAAAAAATTTGAAGAACCATGTTCCCAGCCCAGTGGATAAACGTGGTAAGCATCACAGTCGACCTAATAAAATACCTGACAATATATGTTTCCAATTAGATACGTTTATTAATTCATTTCCTAAGAGACAATCTCATTATAGTAGGTCTGATAACAATAATGTAAGGTATATGTCTCCTGAACTTTCAATTGCTAAATTATATAGAATGTATTTGGAAAAATATGAACCTGATGTATGGGCAGTTTTAAACAGTGAAAATGATGAACAAGTGAAACCTAAATTGAAATACAACTATTTTAATAATTACTTTAATACAAATTTCAACATTTCATTTGCTTACCCCAGATCTGACACTTGTCAAACCTGTGATAACTTGAAAAAAATGATTGACAATAAACACAATGAAGAAGAAAAAGGTAATCTTGAAGTAGAAAAACAAATTCATCTGCGGAAAGCAGAAGTATTTTACACTTATTTAAAGCAGTTATCTGCTGAAGCCAAACAAAATGATTTAATTGATGTTTTAAGTTTTGATTTTCAACAGAACATGCCTCTTCCATACATTCCATCAGGAGATGTCTTTTATAAAAGGCAACTTTGGTCATTTAATTTTTGTATACACTCAGCAAGTACAGGCAAATCTCATTTTTATATGTACAATGAATCATTAGCTAAAAAAGGATAGAACAAAGTAATAAGTTTTTTACATCACTATTTTAAAAACATATTAAGTCCAAGAATAAAAATATTATATTTATTTTCTGACAATTGCAGTGCGCAAAATAAAAATAAAACACTATTTCAATATCTATCTGCTGTGGTCAACACTCCAAATTTTTCTATAAAATTAATTATTCACAGATATCCTGAGCCCGGACATAGTTTCCTGCCCTATGATAGGTGCTTTGGGCACATTGAAAAGGTACGGAGAAAAGTAGAAAGAGTGTTTTTGCCAGATGAATATGAAAAAATGGTTTCAGAAACAAATAAAAAATTTAAAGTTGTTCATGTTGATCAAAGTATGATTTTTGATTTTACTAGTTATTTATCTCCATTAGCTAAAAAAATTGTAACCAATAAAGAGAAAATAAAATTTACTATTATGACTTACCGATATGTCAAATATACAAATAAAGGTATTTTTTGTAGTACATCTGGAAATTCTACTGTTAAAGAAAAATACACTTTAAATAAGACTGGTGAAGAACTAACTATAAATGAAAATGGACTATTAAGATTGTACAATGAACCTATTAAACTGAAACTGTCAAAATTCAATGATGTTACTCAGTTAGCAAACAAATATGTGCCTCAAGAATACCTATGGTTTTATATTGGACTTAGTGCTGCTGAAGAAGATAATATCAATAATAATGATGATTCTGACTATGAAAATTGAACACAATACCCAGTTAATCATATTTTGTAAGTTTTTATACCTACCTAACTAAATCAAATTTCATAAATGTTATTAATTTTTATGTTTTACATTTTGAAATTAATTGTATATTTTTTATTTTCATTTTTATTAGCCTAATATTGAACAATACTATATACTTATTATACAATAATTAACTTATTAATATTATTACAAAGTATTACCTATTAATATTATGTTTTATTAAGTTTTTATTATTACTAAGAGTTGAAATATTATGTTTTTTGTTTTTGGTTTGTCATATTGTTACTAAGAAAAGTAATATACTATTTTAAAAATGTTATAATATGTATTTCATTTTATTTTTTATTGTTAAATTTTTTAAAATATTATGTTTTTTTATGTATTTAGGAAAACAAAAAGTTATTATGTTATTTATTTTGATGTTTAAGATTAATGTTACAAGGTGATTTATATTTTTTTTTTATTTTTTGTTAAAATGGTAATATAAATATTATAAAAAAAGTCTATGTTATTATTTAATACTCTTCTTAAAGTAATTAAAAAAGTTATAGGTACTTAATAAAATATAACTCTAGTAAAATATGTAATACAATATTTCAAAAAATAATAAATTGATAAATATAATATGGATAGTAGTCGAGTGTGAAGCTACCAATTCGAGGTCCACCAACTTCTTATCACTAACAAATATTGGTTACCCTTCGGTTACCAATATTTAATTGAGTATAACGCTTTTTCTAACCGATAGATGTAGACACATATAACAAAAAGCATATATTCAACGCTTTTACCAATAATATACACAACAAAGATCTGTCGGCCGGTGGGAGTATATATACAATTACTATCGTATACACCGCCGTACCAACTCGAATAATTGTGAACGACCACTGCATTTAACAACTTAGCATTTGATATTATATTATAGAGATTTTTATAAGCTTTCAGAAAATGTATAGAAAATATCTGGACTCGTCTCGGAACATTCACCAATTCGCCAATTACTGTGGCCGAGTTGTTGCGTTTATACGCTACCAAAAGTAATTTTCGCGGTCTTGATTTGCAATATTCAGTTATACCTGCACGTTTCACCCGTTAGCTTTTCACACCACTTATAGAGTTTTTTATAAGCTTTCAGAAAATGTATAGAAAATATCTGGACTCGTCTCGGAACATTCACCAATTCGCCAATTACTGTGGCCGAGTTGTTGCGTTTATACGCTACCAAAAGTAATTTTCGCGGTCTTGATTTGCAATATTCAGTTATACCTGCACGTTTCACCCGTTAGCTTTTCACACCACTTATAGAGTTTTTTATAAGCTTTCAGAAAATGTATAGAAAATATCTGGACTCGTCTCGGAACATTCACCAATTCGCCAATTACTGTGGCCGAGTTGTTGCGTTTATACGCTACCAAAAGTAATTTTCGCGGTCTTGATTTGCAATATTCAGTTATACCTGCACGTTTCACCCGTTAGCTTTTCACACCACTTATAGAGTTTTTTATAAGCTTTCAGAAAATGTATAGAAAATATCTGGACTCGTCTCGGAACATTCACCAATTCGCCAATTACTGTGGCCGAGTTGTTGCGTTTATACGCTACCAAAAGTAATTTTCGCGGTCTTGATTTGCAATATTCAGTTATACCTGCACGTTTCACCCGTTAGCTTTTCACACCACTTATAGAGTTTTTTATAAGCTTTCAGAAAATGTATAGAAAATATCTGGACTCGTCTCGGAACATTCACCAATTCGCCAATTACTGTGGCCGAGTCGTTGCGTTTATACGCTACCAAAAGTAATTTTCGCGGTCTTGATTTGCAATATTCAGTTACTCCTTCACGTTTCACCCGTTAGATTTTCACACCACGTATAGAGTTTTTTATAAGCTTTCAGAAAATGTATAGAAAATATCTGAACTCGTCTCGGAACATTCACCAATTCGCCAATTACTGTGGCCGAGTTGTTGCGTTTATACGCTACCAAAAGTAATTTTCGCGGTCTTGATTTGCAATATTCAGTTATACCTGCACGTTTCACCCGTTAGCTTTTCACACCACTTATAGAGTTTTTTATAAGCTTTCAGAAAATGTATAGAAAATATTTGGACTCGTCTCGGAACATTGTCAAAATCGCAAATTACTATGGCCGAGTTGTTGCGTTTATACGCTACCGAAAGTCATATTCGCGGTCTTTAATTGCAATATTCAGTTATACCTGCACGTTTCACCCGTTAGCTTTTCACACCACTTATAGAGTTTTTTATAAGCTTTCAGAAAATGTATAGAAAATATCTGGACTCGTCTCGGAACATTGTCAAAATCGCAAATAACTGTGGCCGAGTTGTTGCGTTTATACGCTACCAAAAGTAATTTTCGCGGTCTTGATTTGCAATATTCAGTTACTCCTGCACGTTTCACCCGTTAGCTTTTCACACCACTTATAGAGTTTTTTATAAGCTTTCAGAAAATGTATAGAAAATATCTGGACTAGTAAATAAAACTATGTATCCCCATCGATTTTAATTTGGATTACGCTGTTCATAATAGTACCTCAGCAAGGCCGGATTTATCCAAAAAGTGTCCCTAGGCTAATAAGGAACAGACTCCCACTTCTTAGGACACAGATAGAATGGGACCGCCTCCCAATTAATTAGAAATTTGTATTTCCTAATGTATAATGTATAGTTACTTTAAAAATATTTAAAAGTCAACGTAAAAAAATTATGTATTGAAATTTTGTAGTTTAAATTATAATGAAAAAAAATTAGTCCTGCATAAATTATAATTAATGTACAATAATAAAAAATAATAATTATTTTGTACTCTGTTAATAAACGGTTAATTCAG